CATATAAAAATTCTTATCTATTAAATGAACAAGTTAAAATTAATAAAATCAATATTTTAAGTCAAAATTACTTAAATAGAGCTGATGTTTAAAATGTTTTTCTTTTTGTATGAGGTCTTACATACAGTACACAAATGTTTTCTATAGTTAGAAGAACTTTTACATTTGTGTATGCCTATGTAATCACAACTTAGATCAAGACACTGAACATTTCTCACACACCAGCAGGCTCCCTCATGCCTTCTATCAATTTATAACTTGGCAAGAGGTAACCACCCTTCAGACTTCTATATTAGTTTTGCCTGTTTTCCAAAGTAACTTCTCTGAGATATAATGCACATACTGTACAACTCACCCATGTAAGGCACAATTCAATGGTTTTTAGTATAGTCACAGAGTGGTGCCACCATCACAATTAATTTTAGAACGCTTTCATCACCCTCGAAAAGAAACTATGTATTAGCAGTCACTCTCAGTTTCCCCCCAATTCTCCCAATCCACTTTCTGTCTCTATGGAGTCACCTGTCCTGGACATTTCATATGAATGGAATTATATCATATGTGGTCTTTTGTGACGGCTTCCCCGCCCCTCCCCCCTTACCAGACTATCTTCAAGTTTCATCGATGTTGTAGCATTTATCAGTACTTCATTTCTTTTTATGGCTGAAGAATATGGATATAGCACACTTTATTCATCCATTCATTCATTAGTCAATGAACAATTAGGTTGTTTCCGCTTTTGGCTATTATGAATAATGCTGCTATGCTTATTCCTGTACAAGTTTTTGTGCAGACATATCTTTTTATTTCTCTTGGGTATATTCCTAGGAGAGGAATTGCCAGGTCATTTGGTAACTCGATGTCTAACTGCCAAACTGTTTTGCAAAGTGGTTACATCATTTAAACATTTTTGCCTTAAAGTCTATTTTATCTGATGATAATATAGCCATTCAGTTTTCTTATGGTTGCTTTTTACATGATATATCTTTTCCCATTCTCTTAATTTCAACCTATGTGTATCTTTGAATCTAAACTGTGTCTTCTGTAGTCAGCACATCATTAAATTCCTTTAATGGGGTTTTTCACTATATATTTTTATTTTCTTAATGGTTTTTCAAAGACTTACCATATCATCTTAACTGATACAAATCTTCTTTATATTTATAACTTAATGCCAGTGAGATTTTAAAAAAACCTATAGTGAGTCAGGAACACTTGAGGATGTTTCCTCAGGTGTGTGTGTCCCTTGAACTGTTTTTACATCTATTGCAATGCCTACAGTGTAATTTGCTATTTAGAGCTAGAGAGACTCGTGGAGTCGAGCAAGCAGCCTACGTAACTGGGATAGATGGCTCTCTGCCTTGTCCATAAAAATTCTGTTTGTGGAAAAACAGGTGGTGACGCTGCAGGTGAGATAACTGAGGCAACTGATTTTTATTTTGTTTGGGATCTGCCCACAACCTAGGGACTGATGCCTTCAGGTGGCTCCATTAGTTCATTCCATACATTTATCAGGTGACTCATACATACTGTACTGGGTGCTTCCAGAATACATAAACAAGGCAGGGTTCCAGCTCTCCAGGCTTTCAGGGACATACCAATTAAGGTTTTCCTGATTTACCCTCTTGCTTCAGTGTCCTCATCTTAGTCCCAAAACCTTAACTCCAGATGAGTCTGTTTTCGCTAAGGCTGAGTACCAATGGAGAAATGGTCCACACATGGGATGGAATAAACGTTTATCGCTTGTTTTGGTATCATCAACGGAGATGTGACCCTTTTAAGAACTGAGATGTTTGTGTTTTAAAACCTGGTTTGGTTCCTGTTCAGTTTCCCTTTCGGGCTCCCTAAAGAACCTGGTGATTTCCTGCAAAAGGGCTCAGTCCCCAGGCTCAGGTCATTGTTCTTTGCCTTCCTCGCATCAAAATTTAGCTGCATCTCTGGGCGCTGGGACATTAGATGGCTTTCATCCTTGTGCTTTTCTGGATTTGATTTTATTTTCTTCAGTAAGTATGCATTATTGCCATAATCAGGGGAAAAAATGTTAAATCTATTTTATTGTAAAACCAAAACAAAACTTGACTGCTTCTTGTTCATTTCCTTTAGGTCTCAGTAGGAGGTGGACTAGTTCAGTTTAAATTTTAACCCAAGGAAAGCTTTTCCTTACCTCATTTTCTTATGTCAAATGCCTTTTCTTACCTTCAGTCAGCCTTAATTCCACCCAGCCTGCTAAGCCAGAAATCCTGGATACAACCTTAACTTCTACATGCAATCACTCTCTATCAATTGTCTCCTTAAATATTTCTCAAATACGCCCCCTTCTTCCTGTCCCACTTGCCCTAGTTTAGGCCTTTATCATCTGTCACCTATATTACTAATTGACCTCTCCACTTCCTTTGCATCCTCTTCCAGTACAGTCTCCTGAATCATGACTCTGTCCTGCTTACCAAGCTTCTCTGGCTCCTCACTGCCTATGCAAGTCTGAGTCAGGATGTCCCAGCATGGCCTACAAACTTCTGAAGCCCTGAGACCAGCTTTGCGTCTTGCCCCTTCTCAACTACCTGCCCGTCTCCTACATGGTCTGGCTCCCTCTTGTCTTGTTGGCTTTTAACCTTGTTTTTCCTTTGCTTGTCCCTCCTCCCTTGCCTACCAACTAAACTCTTCCTACGACTGGTTTAGAAAGCTGGAATCAGTTAGCCTTCCTCCATTTCAGCTTTCCCTCTCCTGTAACAGCAGGCTGTGATATTCATTCCACCTGGTCCTACTGTCTCCAGAGGATAATCACATCAACAGTAATGATGAGCTTCAATATAGAAAAGTGTAAAAGAACTGTTAATAGTATCGAGCACTTCCATATGCCAGTGTCTGTACTCAGAGCTTTGTTAACGCATTTCATCCTTACAATGACCCTGTTAGGCAATTTTATTACCTCTTTATTATAACAGTGATCTTATTGTCTTGAAATGGCTTAGCTATTATCTATCTCCCCAATAGACAGTTGTTCTTATTCATCTTTACATTCCTACAACGAGTGTAAGTTCTGTCCATGTAGTTTTTGGAATATGATGAAGCCAACATTCGAATTTAGCCAAGCCTTGCTCCCAAGAATTGAGTGATGTGAGATTTTCATGCATGGGGTGGAAGAGGCTTAGAATTTGGGCAGAGGCTTTCAAGGTCCCTCCAATCATATTAAATGGTCTTCCCCACTTAAGAAAACAACCTGGGAGTCATCTCGTTTGCTACCTTCACACACACCTGCACCTCAGGAAATACCCTGAAATCCTTCAACTTCTATTTCCAAAGCAACTGCCCTAATCCAGCCCCAGCATCTAGCTCATGGACTTGTCCAATAGCTTCCTATCATTGGCTTCTCCCTGTTCCATTTCTGCAGCCCTCCAGGTCATTCTCTACAAAGTAGGTTGATTTAAAAAACAAGACAAGACAAAACTTACCAACAACAAAAAATCTAAACAAAACAAGCTCTCCGGCTTAACTGTCCAACCTTCATCTTTCACCTTGCACAGTGCGTCAAGCCTCTTGGCCTTCTGTTCCTTGAACAAGCTAAACTTGTTCAGCATCAGCACTTTCACACCCATTGTCCTCTGGCTAGAACGCTCTTCTTCCCACAGTTGGCATGGCTGGCTCCTGATCCTCCTGTCTGTCTGAGCTTGGATCAGCTCTTCAAAAAGCCCTTCCCGGAGCACACTGGTTTGTTTTCCTTTCAGCACTTATCATTGCCTGACATTATCTTACTTGTTTCTTTATCTTCTCCACTAAAAACACAAGCTTCTAAGTGCAGGGGCTTCTTCTGTTGTGTTCACTGCTGTATCCCTAGCACCAAGAACACAAAACACAGTAAGTTTTGAATGAATACATGAAACAAAGGAAAAGACAAGAGCCTTCTTGGTGTATACATCAGGTGGACGGCACAGTCTCAACGGAAATGAGTCCCTGTGTTCCTACTGCCCTTCTAGTTCCTACTAGGGGGAAGGGGGAGGGAAAGCACGAAAGGCATTGGGAACGACCAGGTCCCGTTGTCATCCTGTTGGCAGAAGCAGCGATCACAGTTGTAGAAGAAACAGGCAAGCTGAGTAGGTGGCCCGTGACTGCCAGTACTGAACTCCAATGAAGGCTGCTCTGCCTTGGGATGAAGAGTGCTGCCTGCTCGCTCTGGGTGGTCAGGGTACTTGATCAAGGTACTCAGAGAGTAGTCAGTGCAGGTAAACCTGATCCATGTGTTCAGAGCTGACCACCCGGCAACTGTTGACCGTCTCATCCTGCCTGGAGGAGGGTCTGAGCGATGAGGCAGGCTAGCTCAGCTTGTGCTGCTTTTGCAGGCTGTGAGCGTGGCCCTTCGCTGTCTGCTGCCCTCATCATTCCCTCTTCACCCACCTTGACCCGAAATTCACCTACGCCGTTGCCTTCGTAAAACCTAAGCGATGAACTGTTCCAGCTCACCTCTGTCCTAAATCTCTCTGCATTACTATTTTTTCTTTGTGAAGTCCCCCTTTTCATTACTTCATTGCCCCATTCGCTCACGTATCTTACTGTCTCCCAACCCAGCGCGCACGAGCCTGCAAAGCGCAGCTGACGCAGCCTTGCAGCCTCCCATGAGCAACGCTTCTGACTAGTGCCTCTAGTCTGCTCCCGGAGGGTCGGCTCAAACGGCAACGACCCTGCGTCTTAGACGCGGCTTCTGGGCGGCTCTGGAAGAGGCGCCGCGCGCATCAGGCCCTCGCTACCGGGCAGGGCGCCGCTCTGCACTTGCAGGAAGTTGTCCCGGTCCCGTTGCTGCCACACAGCGGGTCGCCTGGGCAGAAACGGAAAGCAGAGCCGCCAGCGCTCCGCGTGCCCCGTAGGGCGCCGGGGCCGGCCGGGGGCTCTCGCGCCGCGTCCCCGCGCGCGCCCGGGAAGGGGCGGGGCGGCCGCGGGCGGTGGGCGGGGCCTGCGGCCTCCGGGGCCGCCAATGAAATCCGGAGCCGGCGCGGACCGTGCGCGTGACGCTGCGTAGCGGGCTGAGAGGCTGGGGGCGGAGGGGCCCCGAGCCGGGCGCCTTATCTTCGTCTGCGGCGGGGCTGGCTGCGTCGCCGGCCTCGGGGACCTGGAGAGCCGCCCTGCGCCGACCGCCCCGCCTGCATCCCCTGCGACGGCTTCCCGGCTGTGTCCTCCCTGCGGAGGTTCCCGCCGCCGGGCTGCGGCCCCAGGTGATGCGTGTGCTCCCAACCCCTTGCTCGCTTCCCGTCGGGGTCCACCCGCCTCAGCCGGAGAAGAAGGGGATGGAGGTGGCGGCGGCCACTCCGGCCCGGAGGGCCTGGCCTTGTCCTGGGCTGGGGGTGCGGAGGAAGCGGCCCGGAGCCGGGGGAGGGGAGGCTCGGCGAGTCCTAGGGAGTTTGGGGGGGATGGAGAGGGCGGGAAAGTTACCATCGGGCGCCCGGAGGGCTGGTAGCCTTTTAAAAACCTTGGTTGGAGGTTGGTTTGGTGTCCCCCCCAAATCCGGTGGCATCGCTCACGCCGGTAAGTCAAGAAAATGATGAATTAGAGGACGTTATAGTCCTTAAAAAAGCGAAACCAAAAAGGCACCCAGGAAGTCCGCTTCTAATTGATTTAGGGAAAAAAACGTGTGAGGGGATGAAGGGCACTTGAAGACATCGCAGTCTGCTTGTCTGGGCACCGGAGCCTTTAACCGAGCTTATATTTTATTCCTGAATATTAGGACGTAGTTAGGTTTCTGTCGTTCTTAAGTGTCAATAGCCATGCAGTTTAAAATCTATATTTAGAAGTTATTTATAAGGGAGAAACAACTGTAAACTGTAGTCTCCATATTTATATATAGATGAAGGTCACTGGTCACTTCATATTTAAACGGCTGCCATCTGCTTAAACTACTCCCCCCCCCCGAACCCCCCTCCCCCAGAGTGCTTTCTCCTTTCCTTTGAGGTAGAATTCAACTTGAAGCATTTTTTTTCCCTTGCTTTAAGTTGGTCGTAGGGATGAATGACTTGTGTGTCGTCTAGGCACGGGAATGGATTTTGGAAGGAGCTCTGATCTATTCAAGAGTAATCGTTTAAAAATGCCCGTGTCTCAATGGGTCCCACACTTAGCGCTCTCAAACATGCCACCTTCTCTTAGGATCAAGACCAAGTACTCACTGCCACTCTTCCTGTCTCCAGTTCATTTGGGGGCCAGTTTACTCCTGTCTCTCTGGGCTCAAGCCACACTGGTTTTATTTTTGTTCTAGGAAAGCCTCTTTCTTTTTACTAACTCCTGATCTTGGGGTTTCCTCCACCTCTTCGGCCCTATTCTCTCCCTTCCTCCAACTCCTGTGTGTTTCTGGATTATCAGCCCAAATATCACTTCTTCAGGAAACCTATCCTGCCCCAGTGACACCCTCCTAGCACACTCTGTTTTCCTTAGCAGCCGTTAATCATCAATTGAAGGGAGTTGCATTAGTTACTTAGATGCCTTAATTGTTTCCTCTACTGGCATGTAAATTTCATGCAGGCTGGGCTAGTCCATCTAATTTAGGTCTTGATTCTCAGAGCCTGGCCCAGCCCCTGGCACACAATTACAGAATGAACTGAGCGGGAGGATCGAGGAAGGAGCTTTTGAATGGGAGATTTTAACTAGGGAAGAGGACCTGTTTCCATTGGGAAGGAAATGTAAAAAGGTTCTAATACATTTATTTTTGGAATTTATCACGTAAGGATGAACAAGCATACTGACTATATAGATGTAAAGGAGAATTTGCCTCCTGTGTTTTTTAGTTTGACTAATTTGACTTAATGACTTAATTCTTTGACATGTAAATATTGTAGGGCTGTATTAAGGCAAACCTTTGTTTAGAAGAATGAGGAGGGAGAAGTTTTGTTTTGGATTGTAAATTTAGCTGCAATTGTTTCCTTTCCTCCCCCCCCCCCCTGTCCCCCACTGAACCTGGGAGTGGCATAGCAAAGTTGACCTAGAGTAGGCACTCAATATTTATTTATTTTACAGATTTATAGGTTCTTTTGAAAGCTTTATTAACAGGAACACTGTGGGCAGGCTACAGTTCACACTTCTTTCGACATGGTTCATTTATTTCTCAAACCAATTCTTTTTGTTTTGCTTTTGTTAAACAGAAAACTACAGGCCCAAAATGGTGTCATTTGTGCAAAAAGCCCTTACCAAACCTAGACTTAATACCTGATCTAATTGCAGTTTCAGCCTCTCCTAGAAACATAATCTTAATCAATCTGCCTGATAAGACCCCTCCCCTCTGCCTTCCCCTAAGGGCGACCTTGCCTGAAGTAGTTTTTTAACTTCCTAGTCCCACCATTTTTCTGCCTATAAAAGCCTTCCATTTTGTGTGACTCATCAGAACGCCCTTCTAGTTATATGGGATGCTGCCCAATTCATGAAATCGCTTAATAAAGCCAATTAGGTCTTCACATTTACTCGGTTGAATTCTGTTAACACTTTCTTAAGGCCAGTTAGACTATTAACTGAACATTACAAAACCAATGCATAGATTAGATTCTTGGGAAATAATTGTTTAACCAGTGTGTTGTATTTTAAAACGGTTAATCTAGTCAGCTTTACATCACCTTGGGTGTAAATGTTTTCACTGCTGCTTACCTGCTATGTGACTTTGAGCAAGTTTTGTCGTAGCATTTCCAAATCTTTTGCATCTTTGAAAATGGAAATGGTAAATGAGATACGTGATGCACTTAGCCCTGGTGCTCGGCACTGCAAATGTTCCAGACTTGGTATAAACGTCAGCGTCTGGCGTCTTTAATGCTGGACCTTGTAGACTAACTAGTCTTATGATCGGTATTTTCACTTCCTCAACTCATTTTGCAACCCAATCCAATATATTTCTTTGCCCTTCTTCCTGAAACTAACTGTAGAAGTAAATTGTAGCTATTAATGTCCCCAAGTGATGAAATAGCCTACGTCCCACCCTCCTTTTTCTTTTCTCCATTTTTTTGGCCCTACTGAAATTTTCAATGATATTGACCATAGATTACCTCTGGAATCATTTAACTTGGTTTCAAACATTTCTTGCTCCTGGTTCTCCTCTAATCAACACTAGGCCTTGCTTTCTATTGTTCTTTGTCTTGTAATCTTGGGAAAACTGCTTAACCACCTGCAAAATGGGGTAATAGTACCATATGCATTGAACAGGTGGTTATGAAGATTAAATGAGCCGTAGTAAGTACTAGGTAGATGTTAGCTTTATTATTGCCTAGGTAACCTCTTTCTGATTCATGGCCTCTCCCTGGGAGATACCTTTCCTGTGCCTTGGCCTTAGCTGCTGCCCGTACACTGATGAATCCCAGATCTCCATCTTTAGTCCGGTCTTGTATATTCATCTGCCTGTGGGTCATCGTTACTTGGCTGACCCACATGCATATCATACTGAACTTGTCTACTCCTTTCTCTTCTATAATTACTTAGCTTAATGGCATAGCCTTAGCTGAGTTAGAAAACTCACTTGGGGTCTCCATTTCCAACCGTCTTCTGGGTTTAATGTTCGTAAATTTATCTCCTTATCGCTTCTTTCTTCATGAAATCGTTTGTTCACTTAGTAAATTCATGTCATTGGACCCTTACTTCAGGCCTTTATCGTCCTTTGTTCTCCTTGCCAACCTCTCCTTTCTCTAGCACGTCCTCTATCTTGTCTCTGGAGTTGTCTTACTAAAGGCACCTCTTGTTTGAAAATCAAGCTCCTTGTTTGTGTGTGAAGTTCCAGACTCTTTAGAATGACCCCTAAGGGCCCTTGACCTTTTCTGTTCTTACCCTTCTACTTCCTCTGCGCTCAGCCTATTCCTTCTCTTCCTTTAATATTTTACCTTCTTCAGGAAACCTTTTCTGATTGCCCCTAAACTCAGTTGGCCACCAGGCCTGTATTCCCTTCCTACTTCGTGACATCTCAACTACTATTTTGTAACACCATTAGGTGTTACAATTACATTTTTATGTCTTTCGCCCACTAGGTTTTCACTTCTTGAGAGAACAGACTGTTGTAGTCATCTGTGTATCCCAGGGCCTGACACATAGTAGACCTCAATAAAATGTTTGAAATAACGAATCCAACCACCAAGGCCTGTACTTGGTCTGGTTGTGTTTTTCCTAGCGTACTCTCTTCCTCCCATCCTGACTTGATGCCTAGCGCATTTCTGTTGCTTCTTTGAACCCTGGCTCTGATGTCGTCTCCTCCGTGAGGACTTGTTTGACTTCCCTAAATAGTTATCCCTTCTCTTGACACATTTTGTGTGTATGTGTGAACAGTACAATGAGGTAGACCTGTATTATTACAACACATTTATCTAACATCATTGTAGAAAGAGTTGCTTAATGTACATTTAATTGGCACACACCATTTAAGCATCAGAACTTAAAAAAAAAATGCAGTGCACATTGCCTTCCCTTCTATGTCTAAACTACCAAAGCCTTTTTAAGATGTGCCAAGGTCATCAAAGCGTGCATTTCAGCGAAGATTTGCTTTGATACAAGGATGTATTGCGGAACGCAAGCAACAGAACTCTTGATCCTACACTAAAAAAACCTATGCCTGCTCTCTTTTTAATGGTGATCCCTACTTTAAAGTTGCCTTTCTTTATTGTCATGTGCTCGTATAGTTATGCTCCTGGCAATCACTACTTTTTTCTGTTTCAATATGGGGACAGGATTACCCCAACATAAGGTTATTGTTAGCATTAAAGGAGGTACTGTACACAAAGGTCTTATCAGAGAGAACAGAAAATAGTAAGTACACAACAAGGGAACTTACTAACAATTCTAATAACGTTTATTCTAATTTTAATTGTTTCAGGGGAATAATCTCTCAATTTTGAGAGGTTTTCCAGTGGAGTAAAGGGCATGGCATTCGTCAGCAAATTGTTTTTCAGTGTCTTAGACAACCTAAGCTTAGAATTGGGTCCTGAGTGGCAGGTGTGGATGAAAAGTCCTAAGCTCTGGGACAGATCATTGTGATGCATATACAACTGAAATCCCAAACTAGGTAAATTTCCTTATTAACTGTTTCATATTTATTTTTTACTATTAATAGGTAAAGTTAGAAAGAAAAGTGAACATCAGTTCCAACTCTCATACCAGTCTATGAATGGTTGTTTCACAAACATTTGAAGGGCAGTTTTGTTTTATTTCCTTAATGCATGTAAAAACGCTTGGTAACCATTTATTTTATTCAACAAAGGTGTAC